ATATCTGTCTATATGTAAGTAGTCCATAAATTTTGGGGGGAAAATTTGTCTAAGTCAATTCTAAGATACTTACGGAATCAATGGGTAAGAAGCTACTTTCTTAGAAAAAGGTTTATGGCTTCATGTATATTAGTGAAAGGAAACTAGCAAGTTGTCAAGGTTGCAAGAAATGATACTTGCTTTGGGTTATTTTATCATAATCAGTGACCCAGGGTGAGTTGATAAAATAAAGAGAATGAATCTGATAACCAGATTTGTCCAAAGTTCTTTACATTGTCTCCACCTGTTTTTCATCACCTGAATTCAGTATGTAACACTGAAATTTTAACACAGCTAAAGTTAATGCTAATGATCTTAAGAATGTAGACTAAGTATTTTTGTCTACATTGATGAGTATCTTACAACACCCTTTTAGGAAACACATAGTCATTACTTTTCCATTGGGAACACACAATTTTATTATTTCAGAATGTGTTTTGCACTTCCGTTTAACTTTTACAGGGACTGATAGTGAGTGGTTTACAATAGTTTTCAGAGACTTCAAATGATGTCATCTCTTCAGCTCATATTATCTGGGGTTTTTTAATCCCCGTGGCAGTCACACAACATCCTGCACCCAAATACATTGAATGAACATTTTAGCAGTTGGTAAAAATTCATGATTGTTATCTCTACTGAGTCAGATACTCCTAAGGAATAGAAGAAAAACAGAAAATATCCTCACGGTCTCTCACATAACTTACCATCTAGAAACCACCGTCTTTCCATTTGTATGTACTGCCTTAGAATCAGTGCAGGAGAGAAAATCAGCAGTTATCCTTTTCTTGCATGAGAAATAATTGTTTTTATTTAAAACTAAAATATTGTTACAGGGCACCCCAGTGTACACAGGGCCACCTGTACGTGGGTCCTCACCTGGGCGCTTAAAATTTAGTTGCACTGCAGGCACACACAAAAGGGTCAAAAAGGGTTTGTTTACAAAAGGGGACTACAACAGGAAACAACACAGGGAAAGAGAGAGGGATACAAAGTAACTGGACTGTCTTACCCGCTCTGCTGACTGAAAAGGCCGAGTCACACAGTCCGGAGAGCTGTTTCCAGAGTGAGAGAGGGCAAGAGATGCAATGGCGCCCTATTTATCCTCCAAAGTCCCAGAACGCCTGCTTAGCACCACCCTTGGGTCCTCGCAGTTCTCTCCCCGGTACTGCTGGGATTTGTAGTTTTCAATCACTGGAGTAGGAGGTAGAGTCCAGAAAGCTGGAGTAGGGGGTGGAGTCCACAAGACTCAGCAGAGTTCCTTTAGGACATCCTTCCCCTTAAAAATATGACTAAAAGAAAATATTATATCATTATTGAAGGACCTGTAAGATCCTGTGTAAAAGTATGCTGTATTAGGCTCTAAGGTTATTTTTGAAGTTGAAGCAAAAATTTGTGTCTGTATTCAACTATAGAATATTTGAGATAAGAATCAAGTAATATCATAGTGAAGTTTAGAGAGTCACCAAGTTTCTATGTCAACTTTTGTGAATTTGATCTGTAGGGGAAATATGTAAGTTCCTTAGATTTCAGACTCATCATTTTAATGGTTATCAATTAAAAATGATTTTAAACTGTTTTCAACTTAATCACAGCCCACAACAAGAGTTACGTTTTACATGGTGGCCTAGGATACACACACCCACACCACACCATAAAACTAAAGCAAGATTTCCATGATACAAGAATTATACCTACAACTTGCCATGAACAGTGATATTTTCTATGCTATTTTTTTGTTTTAAATTCTGACTATAACCCATTGATACTTAAAATACACTGGTCTTCCCATGTTTATTGCTGCTTTATTTACAATTGGAAAAACATGGAAGCAGCCCAAATGCCCAAAAGTAGATGACTGGATTAGAAAGATATGGTA